TGGTACCGCCCCTGTTGAGAACCAATGCTCTAGATGTTTTGGAATTGCACCCAAGGCATTTATTACTATTATTATTATTTAAAGAAAAATGCATCTTTTACATTAGTGATATCTGTAGTTGTTCTATCTCTCCCTCTTCCTCCCGCCTCTAGTTACTGTGTTTTAGCTCAATAATCTAGAAGATGAATATAGTTTAGAGATCTGAATTAAAAAAGAGCCTATCAAAGGAAGATTCATGCACATATTTTTTGATGCTAAAAACCATGGGTGATATCAAGACTTTTTCATCAGTAGTCATCCCTCACACAGAGCATAATTCAGGATAACCATTGGGCAGCCAGTAGAAGCTTGTGTGTACAGAAACTTAAAAAAAAAATTGTAGCTGATTGGTTGAATAAGCATACTATTTTTCAGTTTAGCTGTTCACCTGGAACGTGGTTTTGAATAAAACAACTAAATCTCTTTTGCTTGTGTCTAAAACTGTAAACACAGCTAATACAATAAAAAAAGAAAAACCAAAAAAGTTACTGTATCCTTTAAATTCATTTACATCTTGTTATATAAAGATCAGTTTTCTTTAAAAATCCACTACAAACTAGTCTATCAAATCAATCTAATGTGGAAGTGAATGACCAATTGAACTTAGTGAAATACAGAGGTTTCTTTTGAATATCCAGGAGTAGGACCCAGCTTTATGAATGAGAAAGAAAACAGTCATGCCCAGAACAGATAATATTTTGACTTCTGGAAGTGTTTTGTACAATTTTTCATGACCAATCCATAATATATTCCCCTCATAATAATTTAGTAAAGAGGTCAGGGCAGTCATGGAATAGAACTTCTATTTAGTAACCAAAAATTTAAGCCTAGAAATGTCATTAAAATTAATGGTTGTCATAAACAACATTCTATTTTCTATATACACACAATGATTTTTATATAAAGAGACTAAAGGATCCTGGAAATGAGATAATAGCAAAGAAAATAATTCTTCTCCCTCCCTTTTCTTTTTTCTCTTTTGGACTGAAATTGTGTTTACCAGACACTATATCACAGGAAGTTTGCATTATTACTGACATAAAGGAAGATGCCGTGCAAATGGGATTTCTCCTTCATGAAAAGATGAGGAATCATGTGAAAGTAAGTATTTTCAGCAGCAGGTAAACAGAAAAAAAATACAGGTAGTCCTTGACTTATGACCATTTGTTCAGCAACCATTCGAAGTTACAATGGTGCTGAAAAAGGAGACCTATGGCCAGTCCTTGAAGTTGCAGCCATCCCAACACACCTGCAGTTATGTGATGGTGATCTGGGTGCTTGGATTGGTTGCCAAGTGCCCCGCAATCACATGATCGCCATTTGCAACCTTCCATGCCGGCTTCATGCACCCTCCCTGATCCATGCCACACACCTGTGCACCCTCCCCAACCCACGCTGCACCCCTGCGCACCCTCTCCAACCTGCACCCGCCCCACTTTCTCCAACTGCAGCACCTCTTGCGCACCCCCTTGCTCCCTCCCCCACCTGGCAGCAGCCACTTAACCGCCTGCAGGGCTGGGACTTGCAACTTCCTGTTGGCTTCCCTACTGACTTTGGTTGTGGGAAGCCGGCAGGAAGTTGCCTCACCTAATGACCATGGGATTCAGTTAACAGTTGCAACCGGGATTGCAGGGTTTGCCATCGCTAAGCGATGCAGTTGCACTTTACGACAGCATTGCTCAGTGACGGAAATTACAATCCCAATTGCTGTTGTAAGTCGAGGACTACCTGTATATAGTGTAACTAATGGTTACATCGAGCCTTATTGTATCTGAATGAACTAACAGATGTAAAAGAATTTTGCTTTGAAATAAGTGCTTCTTATTTTGAATTGTAATCCCAGGTATTTCTTTTAGACGATGCAGAAAAGTTGCTGTTGGTCAGTAACTGTTTGCGTTCAATATATTTAATAGATCACCTCCTGCATTAGGTTTTATTACAGTCAGAATATCAGAGGTTTTGTGAAATCTTTCATACTGAGGTAGATGTTCCTTTTGGTAGATGGGCGGCTACATAAATTTGTTTAATACATAAAATCTTGGCCAGAAAACAGTCTGCAAAATGCTTTTTCTTTTCTGCAGTGTGATACTTTATTTTGCTTTCTTCACTGAGTATTATAAATCATGTAAATAACATGTGGATTCTTTGGTAAATCATTTGTAAATCATTTGAGACATGCAAAACTAACAAGTTTTATGAGTGAGTTTATTAAAACAATCTGTTTCCCTTTTCAGCATGTTAAAGATATAGCAGTATCCCTTCATAAAAATGATAATCTACAAAATATTTTGTTAGGACAGTGCTACAGCCTTATTTGCATAAAAGTAAGTATTACAGAAAGTAAAAATAGCTTTATGGTGAAAAGTACTTATGTAATTTTAGCCCCATCCCCCCCAAAATAGAGATGTTTTAACCATACAGCATTACTTAAGCTTTTCTTCTAAATTTGTGCTATATGTTCACAAAATTATCACATTCATAGATATGGACATACTGGTCCTGTGCAAAATAGCTTAAATTTTATATGGTGCATTTTAGAGCAAAATCAGCTGTTTTGATCGTTTTGGAAATATATGAGCTTGAAATGGTTCCATACTTGAACCAGGGCTATTATGAGCTTGAAACACTTTCAAAATGATTGGAGTAACCTGTTTTGTACTAGTAACAGCCATTTCTCGATGGAGATAGTTATTTTGAATTCAGAATGTTTTGTGCACCACTAGAAGCTAGATATTTAAATAATCAAAGTTTTCAAAGTATGTGCTTTCAGATTCAGAGGATGTAAGTAATTCACCATATATGGGAGGACATCAGATTTGTTAGCAACTTTAGTTTTTTTAGATATGTTTGCAACTTGGCTTACCTAGGCAATTTTATTATAATCTTAATTGTTTGAAGCTCTTTAAATAACTTTCTGAACAAATTGCTCATAAAAAATAGGCTATTATATTCTGTATAGATGGTGTGTTGATGCAGATACATGGCAGAAGATGTCTCATCCAGGCACATGGTTCTAATGTGAATGGGAATATTTATCTGTGACTATACAAATGCTCTTAAGAAGATGATTGCATTTTATGTTTTGTTCTTTCCAACTCTTCTGATTCTGTGGCTCTGAATGCACAGGGAATAGGAAAAGAGTGCATAATAAAACTATACACCTGCTAATTATTATATACATATTTCTATACCAATTGCAACATTTATACAACATTTATATATAATCTTCATCAAGTACACTTGGATAAACCCAGGTTACATTCTGTAGTTCAGCACAGGGAAGACCACAGATGGATGGGAAAACAGGATAATAATTGATAATACTAACCGTATTCAGTACATGTACATAGTTTAGTTGGAGTACGGAGGACTAGAGAAGAGTACCAAAGTTTCCTGGAAAAAGAAAGGTTTGAATCCTAGTAGTAAAGCTCACATCTTAGATTCAGTGTAGGTAATATTAAGCTTTTATAAGTGATCTGATGCAGCATAAGGCAACTTCCTATCTTTCAAAAGAAAAGGAACATAATAAATCCCAGGTTTTTAAAATGAATCTTATTTCCTATTTCTTTAGAATAAGCTGTCCAGCTTTGAGGAAATCTCTCAGCTGGTAGACATACTTGAAAACACAAGTGCTTCGGTTTTGTACCCTGTTGTTCTCATCTCGGTAGGTTAATATGTTTCTTTATTCAGCTTATAAAATACTTGCTCTATCTAGGGCCACATCTAACATTTTATTTTTCAAAATCGTTGTGACTTCTGTAATAAGTAAGGGACATCTGGTAAAAGGAAGCCAAAATTGTTCAACTAGTTATAGACTTATATGCTCCAACAATGCTCTTGTTGGATATTTTATGATTTCTCATTCCAGACAAAAGTTTTAAGCAATGCTTTAAAATGCAGATGGACCAAATATTAAAGAACTATAAGATATGGGATTCAGTCCCTATGCATGTTTATTTAGAAATAGGACTACTGTACTCTGTTGTGTTTATTCCCTAGTTAGCATGCTAACTATGAACAAAGTACAGTGGTACCTCGGGTCATGAACGCTTCTGTTCACGACCAATTCGGGTCACGAACA